TTATCCTATAAAGAATCCGAACGTAGGAAGCCTATAGCCGCTACTTAAGGTGTACCTTACTAAAGAGTTTTTACCGAGTTAGGCCTATAGCAATACTACGAACCTATCCTATCTACTTAGTAGGAGAGTCGCTATCGAGCCGCTACTTAAGGTATACCTTACTAAAGAGTTTTTACCGAGTTAGACCGTTAGCCGCATTATAGGTATACCTTACTAAAGAGTTTTTACCTCCGCTAATCTACCCGAGACCCGCAGTTTGTTATACTAAGACAAGACTGCGATCTAATAAAAACTATACTCTTTCGGTTAAATGCGTAGTCGGCGCCCGCTAAAGCTATAGAAAACAACCTACTCGCTAGGAGAGTCGCCTTCGTAACGTCTTATGTCGATAAAGCCTATCGGAGACTAAAAGGACTAAACAAACTACCTGCTAAGGAACCTTAACTATTAGATAAGCGGCTCTATCGGTAGCAAGTCGTAGAACTAGCAAGGAATAGTGTTAATCGCTATAAAGCTACCTATATACGATAAAGAGGTATCGACACTGTTACTAAGAAGCCGATAGCTAGTATATTGCTAGGGGTGTTAGTATATTAGTATATGTATAGAAGAAGAAGAAGAAGAAGAAGAAGTTAAACTAGGAAGCGCAGGTCCACACTAGCGTATCGCAGGTAAGGTTTGCCTCTACTAATAGTATTACGCTATTTACGACAATAGCAAGGCAATAATAACGGCTATACGTTACCGCCGACTACTGCTAGTCTAGTTGAATGCCTAAGGCTACAATTGCTAGCGACAATAAGCACTATGTTTAGTCTCCGGACACGCTTAAGGATAGATAGATTAGCTAGTAACGACGATAAGCACTACGCTTATCCTTCCGGACACGCTTATACGCTAATATAGCTATACGACAACAAACGCCTACTAGTAGGTATAGGGTAATGTAGCTATACGACAACAAACGCCTATTAGTAGCAGTAGGCACAAGCTACTATAGCTATAGCTATACGATAACAAACGCCTATTAGCTAGGCACAAGCTATACGCCGCGCCTAGTTAGCCGTCTTAAACCCGGATAAGGATTACTATATATTTAAAGACCTAGTAATAGTAGCAGCACTAATTAAAGATACTGTTAGATTCTTCCCGAACAACTATAGAAGCAGAAAGCATTCTTAATCTACTAATCTATGCTCGCCGCCTATTGTTTTAATATTATCCTTCTAGCATTGTATCCTATACGAGACTCTTCCCTCTTCCCTCTTCTATCTATATCTAAGGACCGCTAGCGTAATTGTGCTAAATTAATAACGACTAAAGAGTAGCTTATCCTCCTTATTATTACCCTCCTACTAGCCTATATTACGCCGACGAGCTAACTTACGCGCAGATAGACGAGTAGAGCGACTTAAGCGACGACTAGATGCTAGGCTAGAGAGACGAGCTACCTACTACTAAAGACGCTCTACTGCCTCGAAGTCTTCGTCTTCTGCCGTACATCTACTACGACTCTAAGATCGATTAGCGGCAGCAGTCTTACGAAGCTAATTCTTACGAAGTTGCTACGATACCTTAGCTAAGTTAGCTATATTCTACTTAATCTATGCTCGGCGCTATACCTATATTATTAGTTAAGAAGGACTAGGCTTAGTAGTATCTGCTATAGCTATAGCGCGGGCGGTAGCTTTAGCCTTTATAGCCTCCTTTATAGCCTCCTTTGTAGCCTTCTCGGCTTTATTCTTTTCGTCTTACTTAACCTAGGTAGCACGATTAGTAAGAACCTACTTAGCGACACGATTAATCTCCTAGACTAGATCCTATAGTAGCACGTCTCTCTAGTGCTTATTATTCTCGCGGAGCTATAATATAAATGCTAGTATACGCTCCTCGATCTTAGTCTCGTCTACGCTACTAAAGCTCTCGACGTCCTTACTATACTTCTCGTTAAAGAGCTCGTATAGATCCTATAGTATTAGATCCGGCATTAGGAAGTTAGATAGTACGACCTCGAATATACGGTTCTCGTATAGGTCTTCGTAGAGCTGTTTAATACGCTATAATACCTAATTCGAGAGATCTCGCAAGGCAAAGGCCTATATAGAGTTTATAGTTAGAGCCTTAATAGGCTTCGGGGTCGGTAGTAGTTCTCTCTAGAAAAGCAGCTCTAGTAGTTCTAGATTACATATACTATAGTAGTCCTTAGTGCCGACAACCTCCTTGTCCGGAGGGAATGTATACTAATCTTCCTTATAGAATTAGAGCATTATAGTACGGAAGCAGCGGCGGTATTCGGGGTTAGGGTAATAGCGCGTATTCTAGATATATCTTAAGATATTAGGTATAGCGTTGCGCTACCTAATCTCCTTCGAATTCTAAGGCTTCTTACTTGCGTTATCGGCGATCGCTTTCTCTACTACCGTATAGAATAGGTTGTCGATAAAAAGCCTAGGACCCGGATTGCTAGTATTGCTAGTGCTACCTAAGCTAGCACTATAGATCGTATCGTTAGCATCGTCCTCCTTACTACCCTCCTCTTCGTTATTTATATTAAACTTATCGAACAAAGCATCGGTATTATCCTTATTAAAATCCTCGCTAGGGACAGTAATATATCGGAGGTAGCTTAGGCGGACTAGTATAATAGCTACTAGGTAGTAGGCCGAAGCCTAAGCTATAGCGGTGCTTATAGTAGGAATAGTAGTAGGCTCTCTTAGGATTATCGATCGATAGTTAGACTTAGCCGGTATACGCTTAAATGCATCGTCGATATACTAGGGTAAGAAGATAATAGCAAGCGCGGTAAGACTAGCGATATGCGCCGTACGACTAAGCTTCTATATAAGATTATCGAGATCCCTAGTAATAGGGAACTTGCACTAGTAGACTAGCTCGATATCTAGGATATTAATGCTAACTACTATCGCTAGTATGCCCTAAAGAATGCGGATACGGGAATCTAGCTTCTTAAACTCCTAGTATCGCTTATCCTTATCGATCTTAGCTATATAAGCGGTATAGAAGCCGACAATCTCGTATATATTAATCGTATACAGTGCTCTAGCCTCTATCGGCGCACTATCCTATATATACTTGCGGTCGCCCTAGGCAGGCCCTTTAACATAATTAGTAAGCTAAATAAGCTATAGCATAAGCTACAAACGACCCTTATCTACTAAGCCTCGGCCGTCGATAAAGATTATTGTCTTCTAAATGTTCTACGGAGTTGCGAGGCCCTTATTATCGATTGCCTTACGTAATACGAAGTATAGATACCGGAAGTTATTAGTCTTAGTTTGCTTAAGAATTTAAAGGATATACTTGCTATTCGGACGATTAATGCTGCCGCGGATAATCTACGTATATAGCGTAGCTAAACTCTAGATACGGAGACTATTATTAATAAGATACTTCTTAGTCTTATCGGAGACTATAGCGGAATACGCTAGCAGTACGGTGTTAATACTTATTAGCTACCGAAGCAAATAAATAGTGCTATAGCTATTACGGAAGTCCTTCTACTTAAGATAAAGATAAGCCTTATCCTATACCTATAAACCTAGTATTAGCTTAATCGCACGTACGACATCTTAAAATGCTAGAGTTATAGCTTGTTTAGGACTATAGATAATATAGTTGTATTTGCTGTTCTTAATGTTCTTTAGTATATCTAGGTCCTTCTTAAGTATGTCGGCGGTTAATACGTATATACTAACAAGTATGTATTCTTCTAGGCGGAGCTAGCGTATAGCCTACTCGATATCTGTACCCTGTTCTTCTGTAATGCGGGTTAGAGGCACAATCTAGAGCGTTATTATACTAGTTAGGAGGGTAAAGGCCTAAAAGACTAACGCCTTGCCTACGCTAGTACGAGCGATTATAAGTATATCTTATTAACCGAAGATTAAGGCGAGAACTACTATAATCTATAGGTCGGAGGGCTTAGAGTTACGCGAAGGATACAGTAGTCTTAAGACCTTGCGAAGACCGTAGCAGATAATCTAGCGATAGTATACTAAGGCGGCCTCGTTCTAGCCGGCATTCTAGACTAACTACTAAACCTATTAAAGCAGCGTGTCCTCGTTCTTAATTATAGCACAGGCGACGCTAAAGTAAGCATCCTACTCTTCTATTAAAGCATCGACAGTAGGCAATGTAGGAGATAGGTCGTATATCTATATTAGCTTTTTACGTATAATAGGGCTACGATAAACCGTAGGCGCTCGAGGTTAATATATTAGCTAATCTTCTTAACGCGATAGGCTAGCAGCACCGCCGCTGCGACTACGATAAGTTAGCCGACCGCGACTACTACTACGACCGCGACTAGTAGAAACCTTTGCCGCTTTCTACTAGCGCTTTAATATATTTAAGTATTCGCCGGGCATAGCGGACTTATTATAGTTATGCGGACTAATATAGCGTATTTGTAAGGGTCGGCGGTGTCGGAAGTAGTATTATTAGAAGATATATAGCAGCACTCGAGTATCGCTCTTAATAGCGGCGGAGATTAATATAGGCGGAGGCTTTAGTAATACTTATTTAGAGTATTTAAAGGTTAATAAAGGTCTAGTAGTATTGCGCGATGCTTAGTAGAGTGTTTACGAAGGTTCTAGTAATAGGAGATAAGGGCGCGGCTTTGTAGGCGGAAACAAGAGGCATATAGGCTAGTTATAAGCTAAGGTATATAGACTAAGTAAAGCGTAAGACACGCATTTAAAAACACTTAGAGGTAATAGAGCAGGTCTTTCTTAAGGGGATTATGTATTTCAAATAGCAGATACGAGTGTTAGTAGATTGTCTAATATAGGTGTTCGTATAACAAACGCGAGCTTATATAACTATTAAACTATCCCTTCGTAAAAACAGTCTTATTTTTCTATAGGTCGCAATTCTATATATTTTCTTTACGTAATACGCCTAAATTATTCACTTACGTGCCTTCTAGAACCCCCTTTATATATGTAACACGCTTAGACCTCTAGTTGTTATACTATTCAATGTCCAGATCTGTGTTCTCGGGAGTGTAGTGTCCGATTTCAACGTTTTGAGTTCAGGCGCTTCGCTAAGACTCAGCTTGCCTCAGGTATCAATTTAGAACCGAGATAACCGAGAGCACAGACCTATATACAATGCGAAGCGCCTGAAAGGAGGTAGCAATTCCCCTCGAGTAGCATTAAGAGGCCTCTGCTTTTATGCTCTATGCTTTTCAATGGTCTTGAAGCTTACACCGGCTCTGCCTGCAACGATGCGATATGAGAGCGAGAGTTTGGTAACTATGAGGCAAGTATACCCAAATCAGCCGGGAATGGCTGAAAATTACTGAAATCGAGAGCAGAACTGCATTCTCTTCGCCTTTGCGAGGGGTTTCATGGTCTTGGGGTTTGCATCGGCTCTACCTGCAGCGAAGCGATTTCATGAGCGAGAGGAATCACGCCGGAAGTGCCTCCAAATCAGCCGAATGCTGCTGAAATCCGCTGGAAGTGAAAAAAAAGGAATTTTCGTCTTGTTGATGGTCTGGAACACTCTAATGCTCATCCCAAGCAAGCGGCATCTCCATCTAGACCTCTACGCTCTGGAGCCTCGCTTGTGTCTACATATAGTTAGAAATGTGCATACAGAGCGTCTAGAAGGAGACAGAGCAAGCGCGCAATAGAGCACGACTGGGATATAATGATTGCCGAGAGAGAGACACCGCTCGCGACGACAAGACCTAGTACCGGGGCAGATTCCAAATGCGAAGGTCGAGACGAATGAGAGGGTTGCAAGTACACCTTAATCTACCCAAAATTGGTGATTTGGGGGTGAAACTGCATCTGATCCCGTGCTGCAGATTATGCCGTGTTTCCAAGGATGGAGCTGGTACCAGATGCGAGAGGCGAAGTATGCGAGCGACCAGTGCGTGGAAAACAGGTAAGTACACCTGACTTCGCTTATACTTGACAGTTCTAGGATCAAAATGCATCTACCTCTGCCCTTCAGGTCGCTCCGTGGTACTGTCATTCAAACCAACACCACAAACGGAGGGCAAAGTACGTGAGCGATACATCAGATGCGTTGACAAGAGCGAGCTCATCGAACCCGCTAGAAAGGCCGAAAGTTGGTGATATTCGTATCACACTCTCTACTGTGCGCTTCTCCGCGGTCTCGAAGTCCAGAGCCGCACCAGATACGAAGGGCGAATTTGTGTAGGTGACAGATTCGTTGACAGGAGTTAGGTGCGCTTGAATCCGCGGAGGAGTCTGGAAAAGTGGTGGAATCAATATCTCGCTCTTCCTCCCAGCTTCTTCCAAATCAGCTCAAAAATGCTGAAAGTCGTGGGAACGATACACCTCCTTCCTTACTGCGAGCACTTTTATGGTCTCGAGGTATCCCCGGATATAAAAGGCGAAATCTTGGAGCGACAAGGGCGAGAAGGAGACGTAAGTCGACCCAAACCCATTGAAAGGTGCTGAAATCTAGTTTTCGTTGTGTTTTCCAGGCGCCGTAACTGGTCCCGAAGTTCGCATCAGCTCCAGATGGGATACAGATATCGATGAGCTGCTAGTACATGCTCTCTTTGTCGTGGTATGGTTCTGGCAGCATTCGTCATAGGTACGGTGTGCGCGATGCCTCCATACAGAGAAAGCAGGTGTATCTCTTCCAAAGCGGGCTCTTCTTACTTATCAGCTCAGAGCGCAAGGAAGTACTGAGCAGGTGAAATGGTATAGAGATCGGGGCGGTCGGCGGAGCTGCTGTCGCATTCGACTTTGCTGAAGATGTTGCGGAACTTGTCGGTCGCGGAAACTGTGAAGCGTCAATTTAGGGAGGTGTCTACCACGGCAGGCTGAAGCAATAGGCGCCTGATCTCTGCGGCTGGCTGGCTGCATCCGGGCCGCCACCACGAATCTCCATTGCCTCAAGCTCTCTTATACATGCAGAATCGCATACATGGATCTTCACACACTTGACCTCTGGCTCTAACCAGGACATCTCAATGGAAACAGCTCTGCCTCCACTCCGATACGCTCCGCTGGGAAAGAACGAGATACGAGTGCTTCGCATTTCGGACATTAGCCGACCCGATGCGATCTCTTGCACTCTTCTTCATCGCCCAAGGACTGATGCTGACTACATCGCTCTGTCCTACTGCTGGGGCGATCCGAAGCCGGTGGTAGACATCACGGTCGATAACCAGAGACTGGGTGTGGCACAAAATCTAGGAAAATTTCTCCAGTCGTGGCTCACCACCGCGAATGAAGTGCATCGCGCCAAATGCCTTTGGATCGATGCTGTTTGCATCAACCAGAGTGATGTGGAAGAGAAGAGTGTACAGGTTAGCCGGATGTGGAGTGTATATGAGAACGCGGGCCTAGTTATTGCTTGGCTTGGCGCAGGCAGTGAGTCCACGACAACGGCTGTCCATACCTTGAATGGCATTGGTAGACTGGCGCCCCCAGGCCAATTTGAGCCAGGCTTTGATGAAGTGGAAGTCTCAACACTCAGGACCTGGATATCCCACAGATTAGGTGGAAGTGCGCAGATGCTGGTCAAGGTGGGTGGAGATATATTGCAGCTCACGCACAATGTCTACTTCACCAGAGCCTGGATATTTCAAGAGATTATCAACTCAAAAAAGCTGCAGTTCTGGTACGGCTCCTCCTGGTGCTCTCTTGACGATTTCCGCACGGTATTCAGTCGTCGGCCAGACCACTTGGATTTCCTCGGTGTGCATTCGACGAATTTGAGCAATAGCTGCGAGAAAGTCCTAGGTGGGCTGACTGTCAATGCGATCAACAAAGGATATCAGCACGAAGAGCTTGCGTGGGCGTCGAAACATCTCAAAAACGCGATGGGCTACATGAAAGATCTGGAATGTTTCGACCCGCGAGATAAGATCTTTGTGATGCTGAATTTGCCAGTTTTCAGAGCATTTGGCTCGTCGTTTGACATGCAAGCCCCGTACTCACTCGCTGCCGAGGATATCTTCATGTTATTTCTCTCGTATTTGGATGAGTTTTGCCTTAAGGCGAGCTACCCATGGGACGACGAGGAATGCGCAGATACGGTCCATCGCCTCGCACAGATTCTCTGCATACGGATCGCAAGCGATACATTCTGCTCGTGGCTTCACAAGAACACCTCGGCGAGTACAGAGGACGGCTTTATTCGTCTGAACCTGACAGATGGCAGACGCATTTGTTGCTCAGGACGGATCCTTCACGATTTCGTGCATCGAGGCCCAATTTATCAGCGCGTCCTGCAAGGTCCTCCATTTTGCTATGGCAACTTTGCTAACGATGACTTGTTTAGTGACTATAGTAGCGATCCCGAAAGCGATAACCTCAATTGATCTGTATACGCTGTCTTTTACCGCATGGCAGACTGTCCGACCTTGATTGGGTATATAAGGGATAGAGCTACCTTGTATGGTAAGCTGATATAGAATGCCGGGGCGATTTGCATCGCAGCTCCGACGTTTGTGGCTTCGTATTGAACCAAGGCTTGGCAAAGGCGTTCCTCCGGCTACTCGGCTATTGTATCTACGAGCTTCGCAGCCTGAGGAGGCAATCCGGTACAGCTGTGGACCACACAACGTCATTCGACTTGATCCTTCGCAAGGCGCAGCATTCCGCGGGTGTCTCAGCAGGATTGGATCACATATATATGTGCAGCTTCATGGCCATCCGCTTGCTGCGACAAATAATCCTGGAGTTCCTTGATCGAGACCAGTATGAATTTTATGAACAACGCCTTCAATCAGCGCCAGCAGGAACGCGAACGCTACCAGAAGAAGAGGGCAGATGATGGACCAGCAAAGCCTTCCCAGAAAGATCTCGCAGAAGCGGGCCTGAAATGGGGTATCACGCCCAAGGATGAGCCTCCTCCTTATACCAAGCCGGAGCATGAGTATTCTCCGAAAGAACAGGCGAAGAGGGAGAAGCTCAGGAAGAAAGGCATCAATCCAGACCTCAAGGCAGAGATGGATGCTAAAGTCTTTGGTAAAGGTGAAGCGCCAGACGGGACCAAGAATACGAAGAAGGAAGGCGGATTCTGGACGAAAGTCGCTGGGACTGCGATGGGTGGAGGATGGATCAAGTGAATGTCTTGAGATCGCTGAGCAGGCCGACAGCATTTCGCATCTTCGACAGCATCACTTACCCTGCATGTGAATGCTCGGATCGTTTGCTCGGACCCTTGACACATGACAGGTGAACCCGGTCTCGGCCCGCCCGAACATGTCTCAAAACCACACAGCCGACTCAAAACAACTTGCAAACGCAACACCTCGACTGTCACCATGGCAGACACCAACATGTTCGGCCGCAGAAGTGTCCCAATCGAAGAGGTACGCGCAGAGTTTATCGAGCCGGAGCTCCTCGAGTGGAGAGACGAACACGACCGGGCTCGAGGCTTTGAGGATGATGGCCAATTTCTCGAGGCGCCGCAACTTCGCGCTTGTAACAGCAGCATCCTCATACCACCGCCGCGCCGCTATGGTACACCTGGAGGGCCTCGAGGCAACGCACCGACCGATTGTGTGACAACCCCTCCCTTGACACCACGCCCACGCCACGATTACGTCCAGAACCAGCAGCAGTATCCACACCCACTCGCCCCGTCTGGCTCTTCGGAGAAAGCGTTGCCTTACAGCATGAAGCAAGCAAATGCGCCGGCATTTATACCTCGGATGAACGCTGCAGCGTTCGCACCAGTCTCTCATCAACAGCACGTCGTGCCTGAGAGTGTCACCACGGCGGCGATGCAGTCTGCGCAGAATCGTACCCGCGCCCTTTCGTCTGATGTCGGCAAGCGCAGCAAAGCGGTGCCGATTGTGAGACCTTCGCAAATTCCACTCGCCGGAGCAGAGGAGGCAGCGGAAGCTGTTCGCCAAGCCGAAGTGTCGAAGAAACACAGATTCAGTATTGACAGCGTGATCTTCGTTCCGGCGGCTTGGGAACATGCAGCTCAAATGCCAGGACAAGATGCAAGCAATGCAGGTGGCACCCACATGCAGCAGACTTGTCCAACTTTTCACGAGAAGGCACCGAGTGAGAGTGCCGTGCTTTCAGGTGAGGGTTCAGAGGGCGGCTCTGGGTCGGGTGGAGTGCAGCATGAATGAGGCACGAGTGAATGTCGTTGCGGAAGCCTTGAGCGGTCTGGATATCAGCTCGGCAACAGATGGGCCGGAAATTTCAAGTCCCTGCAGCAAGGCTGAGAAGGTTCTTTTGGAGGATATCAAGAGCCAGTGGAAGACGAGGAGGAGGAGTCGAGGAGGCAGGACTTGCGGAAATGAGCGCTCGCTGGCGAGCTTGGATTCGTGGTACCATGCTGTATTGTATGTAAGCTGAATGAATGAAGGTGAATTTCATCAAGGAAATATTCTTTGTTGTCAAGGAGAGTTTGCGACTCCTTGCTGCAGAAGTGCCAAGGAGCAAGGAAGATGACGCCCGCCCCAGCCATCGAAGGAGCTTCTCTCGTACAATATCACACCTCATTCATGTCTTTCTTCCAACATGGACATATTTGTCCTCATCTTCGACTTTGCATACCCAGAGGTTCCGTTGCCTTCGCTGTCCGAACATCTCGGGGTAATACCATTGATCTCATAGGTCGTCGGCGTGGAGCGAGTACCGAAATTGGTGCATCCCCAGTGCTTCTCACAGCAGGTTCCTGAGGGGCCACAGAGCCAAGAACAAGAGTTGCATTTCTGCTACAGCAAACAGATAGGACAAGATGTATGACATCGCCGCCGAAGCTGAGCGCGTCACAGAAGCCGGAATCCTTCTTCCGATAGTAACAATGTGAAGTTTTTATGCCGACGATCCGGCGTGCGAGCAATACGAGCCAAAACGAAGCTTTGCACGACTGTCCTGAAACGCTTCTAGCGTGCAATCGCTGCTTTGGCTACCGTCGATCACATACGAGATGTACGAGGCGGAGCGGTTGCCATTCATACAAAATACTGCCATGACCCCGAATCAAAGCCAGCATCGACGGCATATCAAGCCATAGCCGCCGCCATGGAGACTTCTATTACGACCTCACGTCTCGTCTTCTCAGCTGGAGCATTGCTGATTGCATATATTTTCGTAACCGCTCTCGTGCTTCCTCTGCTGTCGAGTCGAGGGAAGTATCTCAACTCGCAAGCATGGATTGGTCTAAAGAAGCAATGGTTTGCACGATACAGAGGAGGCTTCGCAACGCTCAAATACACCCGCGAGATGATCGTCGAGGGATATGAAAAGGTACGATCATATCAAATTGCATGAAAGATCAAGCACTACATACTTACTGACACATCCAGTTCTCGAGGCATGGCATAACTTACGTTATCTCGGCCGAGCAGAATTGGCCTGCCAACAAGACTGAATGGACCAGGGTCAAGACGCACCCGACTTGCATGAAAATCGTAAGCAGAGCCGCCAACCGTGTCTTTGCTGGCAAGACCTTGTGCAGAAATCCAGAGTTCCTGGAGCATTGCCGCCTGTATGCTGTCTCCGTGTTCAAAACTGGCGCCATCATGAGGACGGTGCCAAAGCTCCTGCAACCCATCGCCGGCCCTATTCTTACTCGCGGAATGAGAAAGCATTTCCAAATCTGCAGCAACATCGCCGTGCCCGAGATCCGCCGTCGACTTGCCCACCTCCAAGGCCACACCAAGGATCCAAATTACGAGGTTCCCAACGACGCACTGCAATGGCTATTAGTAGACTGTATCGAACTCGCAAAATCCAATCCCCACGAGTTGGACGAAAACCTCCTCGTCCGCCGCCTGCTCCTCCTCAACATGGTCGCTATCCATACAACCTCCATGGTCATATCCAACACCCTCCTGGATCTCTACACCTCCCCCTCCAAAGAAGAATACCTCTCCGGCCTCCGCGAAGAATGCGAACGCGTCCTTTCCCAACACAACGGCATCTGGACCAAAGAAGCAATCAACAGCCTCCTCCGCATCGACTCCACAATCCGCGAATCCATGCGCTACTCCAACCTCGCAGACCTCGGCATGAAACGCCAAGTCATACACCCCAACGGCATCACCCTCGCCGACGGCACCCACTTCCCCCACGGCATCCGTCTCGCCGCCCCAACTTACTCCATCCACCTCGACCCCAAATTCTACCCCGAGCGCCCGGACTCTTGGGACGCGTTCCGCTTCTCACGACCGCGGGAAGACTACCTCGGAAAAATCTCGGCGGGCGCTGACCCCGATCGTCTGCAGAGATCTCTCGCGTTGAAGAATTCTGCACTGATTGCCACGGGTTGCGAGTGGTTGGCTTTTGGTCATGGGAGACATGCGTGTCCCGGAAGGTTTTTTGCTTCGCAGGAGATGAAGTTGTTGCTTGCGCTTGTGGTGATGAAGTATGAGGTTAGGATTGAAGGGGGGAAGAGGCCGGAGAATTGGAGGATTAATGGGGCGGTTGTGCCGAGGGATGAGGTGGAGATGTTTGTTCGGTTACGGTAGGAGGGGGGATAGGGATAGATTGGATTGGAAGGATTATGTTTGCGTGTGTGTCTTTGTTAAGGTTTTTTTTTTTGAACCGTGAAGTCGTAAGTAGAGTTTTTTAACGAGGGCGTTTTCTTAGAATTAAAGATAGTATAGTATAGTATTTTCGATTCTACGTTACGGCTCGATAAAATAATAAGAACGATAGTAGTTGCTATATATATATTAAAGTCTTTTATTACTAGTCTACTCCTAACTAGGATAAATAGCCTTACTTTATATATCTAAGGAGAAAAGCTAGTAGTATAATAACTCCTCTTTCCCTAAGCTCTATCCTCTATAGGCCCTAGTTCCTATCTATATTACCTTATATAGTATTAGTTAGTAGTTACCCTAACCTACTCCTTTTACTAGGTACGCTTTAGCCTTCTCCCTCCTTAGCCCCCTCCTCTACTCTACTATCTTTATTTTAATACTATACTAGTATCTCCTCCTTTACTATTAAGAACTAGTCGAGTACCCCTTCCTATATTAGCTACCTTACTATTACTAAGAGTCCTTTCTTTATTATAGTAAGAGTATTCTAGTTACTTATTCCTACCTTTCTATATATCTCCTACTAGCCCTTTCTTAAGGGATAGAAGATAGTAATATATTTTAGTAAATAGGTTCTCTAGCCGTACTAGTATTCTAGGGTAATCTCTAAGACTCTCCTTTTTATAAGGTATTATCTTAGGCTAATATACTCTTTCCTAATTTATATAACTAATAAGGTAACTAGTCTTAGCTATTCTAAGTAGAGATAGATTCCTCTCTCCTAGTGCCCTATCTACTAGGCTACTAGTCTACTCTAACCCTACTATAGGGTCTCTCTTCCTATATTACGAAAATATTTTTCCTAATCGCGAAGCGATCCTAAGCGATCGTAAGGCGATCCTAAGCGATCCTAGCGATAGGATTAATCGACTTAATAATAAAAACTAACATGTTATACTATACTAAAAATAGAATATTTTTGTCTTTATTACTAAGCCGTAAACCCTCTAGATAAATAGATTTAAAGAAAAGAAAATTCGCTTTTTAAGAAATTCTACTTCTAGTTTTTCTTTTTTTTCTAGTAGGTTTACGGCTTAGTAATATAGTAGAGAAGTACTCTATTTCTAGTATATTATTATAAAAAAATATAAAATTTCTAGATTTCCTAAGAAACTAAAGCTAGGAGGAAGAAATATATAATATAGTATTTTAGCTTTTACTAACCTATACTTTACTATTTTTAGAAATATAAAAAACAGGTCTTAAAGCTCTATCTACTAAGAAGACTATTCTAGATTATTAAGTTTTAATACCTAGTAGTTATCGTAGAATCGAGAAAAGAATCTCGAGTATCTTAAGTATACTTTTTTGTAAAGTTCTACTTATTAAGCGTCGGCTTTTAAAAAAAACTTAACGTAATCTAGGCTATATTTAACGAAATTCTAACGAAAAAAAATTATTTATAAAACAACCTATGAAACCGCTAATTTTGGTGTGTGTGTATGCGTAGTATCCCGAAATATCTCGCAGTAGCAAAGCAATAGTAGCCGGGCTCTAATAGTCGGGCTCTAGGTCCCGCGTTCTTTACGTTCCTAGGAATTTTAGACGTTCCTTAGCTCTATAGTCCCTCGGATTTCGGGATAGCCTATCCTAGGGATCGCTTACGATCGATAGAATCTTTAACCTACGATTCTAAGGATTCTAAGGATTCCGACGATTCTAAGCGATCCTATCGATAGGATCGTCGCTATTAGGAAAAAAGTTTTTATAACACATCCTCTTCTTCTCCTATCTTTCTATCTAAGTATTCTTACTCTACTATATCCTTCCTAAGTAGAGTAGGGCTATACTTCCCTATATCCCTACCTCTTAGCTAACTAACTTAGTAACCTATTCTTAGGTAGTAGTTCTTCTTTTTAGGTTTTATCCCTTAGGGCCCCTAATTCTATTCTCTATTTCTCTATACTTTTTCCTTATATACTATTATATAGGGAGATTATCCCTCTTTATTACTAAGAGCCTTCCTATGTCCTAGGTATAGAAAGTAGGGGGAGTATTAGCTTCCTTCTAGAGGATAGCTTTAGGTATACTCTTATAAGCTCCTAGGATATATCTTAGCCTAGTATTTTATAGTTTCTTAAGGGGCTTCTAGAGGTACTTCTAGTATCCCCGGATTCCTTCTAGTATTACCTTAGACCTAGATTTAGTAACTGTATATTAGGGCTAGTCTAACTATTATACTATATAGGTACTTTGCTCTCTAGAAGCTAGTACCCTATATTAACTTATATAGTCCCTAGAGGGACTATATATTAGTAAGGCCTCTCTCCTAGGCCTTTCTAGTATATAGCCCCTATTTAAGCTTACTATCTAGCTAGACCCCTAGGAGTCTAATATCTAGTTCTAGTTATATATAGTATCCTAGGATCTAGATAGTAGTATATAGGTTATATTTCCTCCTACTTCTTATAAAGCAGATAGGCTAGTACTTCTAAAGGGCAGATACTACTCTACCCCTCCTTACCTACTCTATATACTCTTCGTAGGCCTCTTTAAGTCTCCTATAGTTTTGCTCTATAGACTTGCTATATATAATAATATTAGTATTATTAACAAATCCTATTACTACTATCTAAGGGCTTTCTAGTTTAGGGAGGAGTATAGAGGCAAATAGGAGGAATAGTATAGGTAAAATAGTAGAGCCCTAGGGGATACCTATCTATTATAGTCTTTCTCTATCTATAAACTATTCTATTTTAAGCGTCGTCCTCCTATCTTAGAGAAAGGATATTATAGTAGGTACGGAACGCCGGGCCTATATATACTTCTATAAAACCGTAGATACCTTACTAATACTATACCTTTGCTAACCTACTAATCGTCCCTCGCGTAACAATTAGTAGCTTCGCTTTAGTTAGATCTAGATCCGTTTAAATAGTACCCGAGTACTAGACGAACGGGCACCTTAAAAAAAGCAAAAAACCCCTACCGCTGCCGCCTAACGCGACCGCGAGGTCCCGTACTAGCGGCACCGACCTACCTACCTAACTATAATATCTACCTACGTTCGATACGATTACGACAGTCCTCTAAATTCCGTATATTATCTTCCGTATATACGTAGCTATATACCGACGGCGCCCTACGCCGCGTAGCCCTCTAATTGCCAAATATAGCGGCCCGCCTTCCCTATTCAGGTTTGCCTACACGACACTAACACCTGCCGAAGCGGGCACTAGTCAAGGTAAGAGCTTGTAAGCACCCTAATAGTTACCTAATATTTGCCTAGTTCCTTAACTCTATACTTATCCTATACTTATAAGATTATTAAGCCTACGCTTATTCTATAAATATACTAGCTTCCGTACGCCCCGATTTAGACGCCTACTCGTTAAATATTGCTTTTTGCTTTAACGAATTCTTAGCTAACGCTGGTTACGCTAAGTTAGTATACTAGAAGCAAAGAGACCTGTTAATAGCAGTCGTTACGACAATTACTACTTATTATTAGCCTCTAGAAGAATATATACCGCGAAAACTCTCGGACGCTAGAGGTAGTTCTACCCTCGGTTTCCCTTAGGATTAGGCAGTTAACCGCTCTTTAGTTGTAGTAGCAGCGAAGACGCTAATTGCACTCTGTAACGAACTTGCTATTTTAGATACGATAGAATCTAACGACTTAGCGGCTCCTACTCTAGAACTAGCACTACCCTTACTAGATATAGTAGTGCCTATAAGTCTAGATACTAGTCTATAACTACGTCGTCGACGGAAGATTTTAGCAGCTAGTACGCGACGTATTATATACGTACGTTATAGGTCCTTACCGATTGTTTTCCCCCTAGGTCTACGAGAACTTAGTGCCTTAGAGCTGTTAGTCCCGAGTAGTCCTATTTTGTCCTTACCGGTTTCTATCGACCCTAAGTAACAAGGTCCGGAGCCTAAATAGAAGGATATAGAGTAACAGAGCCCTAAGCCCGAATAGTAAGAGCTTCTAGCCCCGAGCAGTCTAGAGTCCTCTTTATTAGGTCCTAAGCTTTACTAATAAGGTACTTAGTAGTAGGAGCTTTAGTAGCGGAGTCCTAAACTAGAGTATTAACGTCCTAAGATATAGTAGCAAGGACCCCGACAATAAGAGCCGTTATTCCTATCCGTATCGGCTAAATATATAGCCGATATATCCTAAGAGATAGACCTAGAGTTCTAGCGTACGGACTTAGTATACGTAGAGCCTAGCGTCGAGCGTAACCTACCTCCTCGATAGTAGATATAGCGCCGCCGATTAGTTAACGCATTCCTAGGTATAGAAGCTAGGCGTCTAGTCGCGGACTACTAGCGAGTATATAACGTAGCTATAGGGCTATCCTTCTAAAACTAGCGCAACGGCAAGTAGCTAGCTTACGAGAATCCGTAGCCTTAATGCCTACGAGAGGGCGCGCTACGTAAAGTCCCGGTACGCGAGAACTAGAACGCCGCTAGCGCTAACGCGGCCGCTAAAGACGCTAACGGCGAAATCCTAAACGCCGCTAACCTAGCCGTCCTACGTAATAAGATACGCTAGCTATTTAGACAACTGTTAAATTAATAAGTTATCTAGACCTAATAACTTAGGGATAAGATCCGGGACGAGATCGACTAATTACGCTAGAGTATCCCTTCGAGCTTAGTATAAGATAGGCTAGACACTAGAAGAGCTAAACGCCTCGCGCGTATAGGTTTGTATAAATAGGTTCTATTAGCCTTACTACCTAATCTAGTCGAATCCTAGCCTTACTAGTTACGCTATAATATATAACGTAACGCCGAGGCTAGATAACGCCGCTATAGCTAAGGCGGTGCTGCTAGCGGAGGGCCTCTAAGCCCGAGCCTAGGTAATTCTAGTACCTAGGGTAGGAACTTTAGCCCGCGACCTTACCGCTTCGACCCGTACTATATCGATAATTTTTAGTTTAGCCGCTCGCCCTATTATAGCCTATAGCGCT